GATGATAAATAAGAAAATGATTTGATTAAATATCTTCAAGATGGCTTCAATTGAATAATGATGCAAGATTGAAGACATAGGAAGAAAGTGAAGATGTTAATCTCCATTCGTCAATGTCAGATTATAATGATACAATGAGAATGATCTCATTTTTAATCTTGAAACAATAAGCGTACCATTTGCATGATTGATCAATCTATGTATAGAGTACTTACATCGTTCGACATGATTTGAAGATGGTTTCATTCAATGCAATAAGGATGAATATTAAATAATCAATTTATAGCTGGATCGATCGATTGAGATCGATAAACCATTAATACAGCATGATAACTTTGATCGGTTTGTCCAGAGTTGAAAAAATATATTTTTTTGACGACAGTCGCTGACGATGGCTATGTTGAGAGTACAGTAGTAAAGTGATAATGGATTCCTGGTGAGAAAGCGGATTATTAATCAATTAAATGGTATGATATGAATCTGCTTAGATAATAAATCTCATTAACTATATTACTATACTATCGTTGGAATAGTGTATGAGGATTGGCTATAGTAGAACTTACCGATCGCTGACGTTGTATTACGTCGATGAATTGGAATTTTTTTTTCTTCTTAATTTTATGGATGGGTGTATGTGTAAGTCTCTTCCTGTCGACTACCAAACTTGCTAATGAAATAAGTCTTTAAACTCGCTGTTTGTTCCTCCTTCATACGGGGGGAGTCCAAGCTACTTTCTAGGCATCAAGCCAATGAATCGAGGGGTATGGATGATAATCTATAAAATTGACACAAGTTGATGTTAGTATGAAAGGATAAAATTCTTTCTCATTCAAGTAATTGTACTCTATCCAACTGCAATAATACTTTATTTGTGCTCGCACGATTGTTAATGCGTAGATGCCACTTATGTAATCAAGATGGATAATAGAAAGCAATTTATTGTTGACATAAAAAGCCCTTCAAGCTTATTCTTTTCAGCAAGATACGAAATGGTACAGCAATAGGAATGTGTTCTACTCACTGCCATGAGTTTGATAGAATATCTATTGCTTTATAGTTTCTACTTTAGATTGGAAGGGATCTAGCGCTTAGAATCGCTGTGGCTACCTACTGCGCGTAATAATAGTATGGACAAATCAGCACCATATTTTTTCTCCTTCGTATAATCTTTAGATTTGTTATAACAACGGGCAAGTTGTTGTGTTGTTATTGGACTACTTAACAACATAGGATAGTAAAAGAGAAATGACAAGAAGGGGCAAATAGGGACAGGTAGGGTGTTAGGACTAGTGTAGTCACCGGCAGTAATCAGAAATGTTAAATCGATATTCTTGTAGCGTGCCGTATCAAGAACGAAACAATGCTAAAAGTTGACATTACGGTTCTTTGTCGGTAAAATGGGGGTTAAAAAGGCTCTCTTTGATGATTTCAACGGAAGATATGGTGGGTAATAAAGTAATTACATTTCAAAATAAAAACGCTTTAGCGTAATTATTATTATAAATAGGCCATGACTTGTCTTGACCCTACTGGACTAGATACGCATAGTTTATTACTGTACTGTATACGCCAATCTGCCAATATGCTAGAGGTTTATCATCATTAAAACAGACTTGGAGCATCTGCAACCGATAATGTGGTCGCTCTTTCATTGGTAAGATAAGAATCAGGGACAGTCACAGCCAATCGGAATATTGCTAACAGTAAATACTGTATATCCTTTTGGGAGTTTTATGTCAATAATTAACCATTTATAATGGCCCAATCTTACGTGATCGGTTTTAATTGTATGAGCGATTTAGCGTGCGTCTATTCTGGAAGTCAATATTGCCTATCCTGCCCCAAGTTTTATGTCAATACGAATTATTAATTTGATTTAATAATCAGGGTCTTAACTGATTGATTTTATTCATTCCGTCCAATATTGTACCAATATTCATCATCTAATGTGTGCTTATTTTAAGCAAGCCTTCGACACAGATTAGACGCGAATTAGAATGAATTAGGATCATTATCGCTTGACATAGGCGATAAAATTATTCCTTAATTAATACAGTCAGACTGATCAAGGCAAACTCCATGACAGAAAGTGACGGTGAAGGAAAGTCTTGGAATTTATCGCGTACAGTGTCAAGCATGACTGTTATTATTCGATTATTCCAGGCGTAAAAAGGATTTTGGATAGGTGATACAACTTTAAACTTGTTATACTATAGTCATCCTATTTGAAGAGTTTACAATTGCCGACAGATAAATTGATCTCAAGTGCCAGAATCAATCGATCGAAGGCCATCAATCAAGTTTTTCTAGGAATTCTACGATATTGTATAAAAAAAGCATCTTAATATGGACTGACAAGCTTGTCATCATGTCTGCAGTAGAATAAATTTCTCTAGTAATTTATTGGTGTTACAGTTATACGTCAAATCCAACGATCATTTTAGACGCACTGCCGATGACAAAAACTACGTGATATGAACAGATGTGCCCCTTCATTAGCACGAATAGTAATCTAAATGGGAAGGTGTTGTGCAGCGTTGCTAATGTTGGGAGTCCCTAACCCTACATCCATACGTACGTCTATAAAATTACTAATTACTATCATTGTCTACTGACGGATAGCGACAATATCCGTTAAAGAAATGCTCCTTTCTCAATCCCATTTTATCCCTGTAATGCACATTTGCTATTCATAAAATGAGACCCTAAAATAAAGACTCAAGACGAGGGGGTGCTAGTACAAAATTTTTCCAAGTTTTGTCATATTGACTTCGTTTGGTGTGTAGTTGCTGTTTTGCTCCTCTCACCAAGTAAAAAATGCCTAGAAATAGGCAATATTATGTCTACTAGTAGACCCTTGGCTCGTTACACTTCGCGTGCTATATACTGCACTGGGTAGTGGGTACTACAGCAAATGAATCAAATGAATGAATGAATCAAGAATCAAGATGATCAAAATGAATCAACAATCAACAATAGTACGCCTATAGCGGATAAGAGCTATAGGCGTATAGGCAGAATATTTGTCATATTGACTTCATTTAGTGCGTACTATAGTTACTATTTTACTCCTCTCACCAAGTAAAAAAAGCCCAGAAATAGGCAATATTCTGTCGACTAGTGGACTCTTCGTTTATTATACTTCGCGTGCTATATACTATACTAAGTATGGGAATGACTAAAACGAATCAAGAACTGCTATACACCTGTATAGCGGATAAGAGTTATAGGCGTATAGGTAGAATTTTTGTCATATTGACTTCATTTAGTGCGTACTATAGTTGCTGTTTTACTCCTCTCACCAAGTAAAAAGTGCCTAGAAATAGGCAATATTCTGTCGACTAGTGGACCCTTCGCTCATTATACAGTACTTTGCGTGCTATATACTTTACTGAGTAGTGGCCTAGTGGATACTACCGTAGCTTTTCTTTAGTACTGTAGTTCATGCATTGGAATGGCTAAAATGAATCAAGAACTGCAATACGCCTATACTGTATAGCGGATAAAAACTATAGTCGTATAGGCGGAATTTTTGTCATATGGACTTTATTTAATGCGTACTATAGTTACTGTTTTTTACTCCTCTCACTAAGTAAAAAGTGCCTAGAAATAGGTAATATTCTGTCTCCTAGTAGATCCCTCGCTCGTTATACTTTGCGTGCTATATACTATACTGGTTAGTGGATACTACCGTAGCTTTTCTTTACTGTAGTACAGTAATCCCTGCATCGGAATGACTAAAATAAATCAAGAACTGCAGTACACCTATCTAACGGATAGGAGCGGATCTCCTATGCAATGGTTGCTAGCGCCTTACAGTACGCTTTTAGTTTATATTACCATTCTGTACGTTTCTATACTTGCATGTGCCAAGCGTTTACGACCCTCTACTAAAGACATTTCACAACTGTTGACGCATTCAATTTTGTAAATAACTATGTTGAACTGACTTTAATTTTATTTGAAGAACTTGAAACATATTTAATAGAGACTGATCTAGTGTTATATATTCAAAAATATTTAAAATACTGCGTGAGTTATTAGGAATATACATGCAATAAACGTTATAGACAGTATATGATGTATACCATCTACTCGCTTCCTATATGCTGTACATTAGCGTGCGCGTACGTGAGCTAACGCATGCGTTAAGAACTATATAAAATACGTTGAAACGATTCTGTACCACATCACGCTCTTCAAAATATGTAGCTACCGTCGTAAGCAATAAATGGCATGGCAGCTGCGACAGAAGTAAAAATTAAAATTTTTACAATCACTAACAACCAGATTGATGACTCACTTCAAGTTCAAGTTGTAATAATCAAAGATTTATTATGCCACTTTTACTGATGATCTAGTCAGTGTGATTGAATATTCAATCATGGCAATATCATGAGAGAAAGAACGTTGCTGGTGGACGGACAGACAGCAAGCGGTCGTTTAGCGGCGAGTCTTTTTTCCGTTCCTATGAGTTACTAATGATCGGCTAAAGTACAGTACAGTACTGTACAGTGTACAGTACAGTACTGTACAGTGTACAGTACAGTATTTTCTTTCACCGAGTAGCTTCTGACTCTAGCGACATTATTTTTGCAAGAGAATCGTATTGCAAGTGATGGAGCATTGAAGATTGTTCTGGATTCGGTGCAGTACTATATGGTACACTATCGCTGTCAACGCTATATTGTACGTTACCCTTGCCATAATCTGAAGCCTGTGAGTGATGACTGAGTGTAGAAAACAATCGCTAGCAAAAGTAATGTCACCAGCCGGTCTTACAGTACTGACTAGTACTGTACTGTACAGCTAGTGGGAACTGTAGCGAAGGGTACAGTACAGTACAGTGTACAGTGCACAGTACGGACACTGCCTTGTACTGTACACTGTACTGTCATGGTAATACAGTACAGTACTGTACTGTACTGTACTGTGAGCTACACTATAAGAAAGGAAGTCGACGCTGCGCCACTAAGCAACTGCCAACCGTCTTGTCCAAAATGGCGAGCTCGAGTAACCTTGTTCGTTGGGTATCTGATGAACTACACGATGTCATCGGTATTTCTGATAGAAATATTGCTGAATTTGTCGTTGGCTTAGCTAAAAAATCCCAATCCATCAACGATTATGTTGATAAATTACGTGATACTGGTGCTATTACGGTCAATAATAAAGTAATCGATTTTGCAAATCAATTGTGGGATAAAGTACCTCATCAATCAGCTCCGGCAATCAATCCTGCTCGAATGAAAGAACAACAGGCATTACAACTTCAAAAACGCAATATGAGTTATAAGCTACTATCAGATAGCGATGATGATGTAACATCGCATCAAAATTCTGCCAAGAAAACAAAAAAAGAGAAAAAGAGAAAACATATCAGGGAAAGCAAATGGGAAGACGATGACGATGATAATAATTATAATCGAATGGCTGAGGCAAAGTACATACTATTGCAATTGCTTGCATTGAGTACTAATAATGTAATCGTTATTGAACAGTCAAATCTCAATTAAAGTAACTACGCTTATATTATAATGTAGCTGTTGTATCAAAATTGAGTAGATGATAAATATCACTAGGTGTTGATAGTTTGGCTAATTCGTATGCAATGCTATGTCATCGCTTCAACTTTCTTTGCAAATTTGCCAATTCTAGTCTTATTATACACCAGTAGTTTCATCATAAAGCATAAATTTGCGGTATGAGTAAGACGTATTTACTTGTGTACTTTACTTTGACGTATATGTACAGTATAAATTAGAGCTATGCCAATTTGTTAATACAGTGGCAATGGTTGTTACTTTCTGTTCATACTACTGAATACCAAATACTCCAATTGATAGACGCAGTAAAGATGTACAGGAAGAATCTGAGGAAGAATGGGAGGTTGCTGAAAAGGAAAGAATACTTGACATTAAAGAAAGAGATGAACTAGTCAAACGGATGAAACAACGAGATCAAGAAAAAACTAATAAACCAACAGAGAAAGGCGATAAAAAGGTAATAAAATTACTACATCATCTTGTACTGTATATACTGTATACTTTACAAGAATAGCTAAGTCATCCATGATATTCTTACTGTAGATTTTTGAAGAAGCAAAGAAACGATTAGAAATGGATGAAGAAGAACGTAGAAAACTGGTGAGCTAAGAAATTCGATAACATGATTTAAAACATTTTTTTAGTATTGTCAACTGTAATGATGAAATTGATGTCATGTACCGTACATGTATAGACACTACAATATCTTTCTATTTCTAATCGTGTGCTAAATTTATCTTTAAACAAAATCGACAGCTTAATCAATTTTCTTATATTACTGTATATGAACTTATAGTTACCTCAATTAAGGAAAGAATCGCGGCGTCAGTACGTAGATAAACGCCACCAAGAAAAATTAGATGATCTTAGATTGGACATTGAAGATGATGAATACTTATTTGAAGAAAGCGAGTAAGTTGGCTCCTTAACAACTACTATAGTTATTTTTAGCGCTCTGAGAATAGATTTTATTTCTTTACCATGTGACATATAGACTAAGCTATAAAGAAAAAAAGGATAGGGAATACCGCAAAACTGTTTATAAATTAGCCAAAGAATACACAAAAGTACGATTTAAAAAATGTTTTATTAACTGTATACTCTAACCTAAACTCCTAGTTACTTACCCATTTACCTTATAATTATACTACTAGACGGAAGAAATGACTAAGGTACAACGTTATGAAATGCCGAAGGGAAATGTGGTGAGTTCCATTAGACCTTTAATTTCTGAAGATCAAATTTTTTAACAAATGTACTACCTAAAGCTTAAAAGGTTAATACGCTTGCCATGTTGATAAGTAATTTTCGTATCATGATTATTATGTAGCAACCATCAAAATATTACGAAGAACCAGTGCCTGATGAGGTAATGACGCTGCTAAGATTGCAATTAAGATTGAATTACAATACTACTACTTCAGGCTCATTAATTGATAATCGTTATTTATATCCAGTATGAAGTAAACGCTGAACAAAAACGCTGGGAGGAAGGAAGACTTAACGTAGCTAATTTAAAATTTGGTGCACGTGATGCGGAGACCTATCATAAACAAGATCAATATGAGTTCTTAATGGATGAACAAGTTGAATTTGCTTTAGCTGAACATATTCCAGGTGCAAATGTAGAGGCTAACAAATCTGAAATGTCTGAGCTTGAAGTAAAACGAATGACCATACAAGAAACAAGAAAAAGCCTACCTATATATCCATTCCGCGAACAGTTATTGGAAGCAATTGCAGAACATCAGGTAAAACAGTTAATCAATCATCTTTGTGTGATGTAAATGTGTAGTATAAAATAACACTCGCTAACGTAAATAATTTCTTGTTAATCATATCATGCATATAATCTAGGTTTTAATCATCGAAGGAGAAACAGGTTCTGGTAAAACAACTCAGATTCCTCAGTATTTATATGAAGCAGGTTACACCAAAGACGGTCAAAAAATTGGCTGCACACAGCCACGTCGTGTAGCCGCTATGAGCGTTGCAGCGCGTGTTTCAGAAGAAATAGGGAAAAAAATAGGAAACGAAGTGGGATATAGCATTCGTTTCGAAGATTATACATCGGATCGGACTGTTATTAAGGTTATTGTTGTGTTGTTGCCGTAAATATACTACGTTACTTATAGATTATACGCTTAATGCTGATTTGGTAAATTTTCAATGATAGTACATGACAGATGGAATGCTGTTACGTGAATTTCTTGGCGAGCCCGATCTTGCTAGCTATTCAGTAATGATGATTGACGAGGCTCACGAAAGAACTTTACATACTGATGTACTATTTGGTTTGGTGAAAGATATTGCACGTTTCCGACCTGATCTTAAATTACTGATATCTAGTGCAACCTTGGACGCAGAAAAGTTTTCGCATGTACGTCAAACAGCTATAGAATTGATGTTGATGAGATAAAATCATAATTTAAATTAAAAAATGCTAGATTAACTAATCTGCCCAATTGCGCTGTAGTTTTTTGATGATGCGCCAATTTTTCGTATTCCTGGTCGACGATTTCCTGTTGATATTTATTATACAAAGGTAAATTAAAAAAATAGGGATACCACCTCAGTTTAATAATAAGTGATAAAAGTGACAGCGATTATTATGATATTGTAGGCTCCAGAGGCCGATTATCTTGATGCTTGTGTGGTAACTGTCCTGCAGATTCATGTATCTCAACCCACGGGAGATATTTTGGTAAAAAATTATATAATTTTTGACTGATACGTGGATATTATGTTGTCATATTTAATCTATCAAACGGAACCCTAATAGTAAGCTATTATAATTGGTATTATGTAGGTATTTTTAACTGGCCAAGAAGAGATTGAAACTGCTTATGAAGCTTTGCAAGTAAAATAGTAATTTTTGTATTGAGTATTCAATTTTTACGAATAATTGATTCACGTATATTGATTAATTTAATATAAAGGAAAGAGTGAGAAAGTTTGGGTCAAGAATTCGTGAGCTTATCCTACTCCCAATCTATGCCAATCTCCCTTCTGATATGCAAGCTAAAATATTTGAACCTACTCCTCCTGACGCTCGAAAAGTTTGTAATGTGTTTTGACGACACAATGGATTGAATAAAATAATACTAATTTTACGTAATTTTTTTTATTACTACTCGCTTGGATTAGGTTATACTAGCAACTAATATTGCTGAAACCTCGTTAACTATTGATGGCATTGTCTATGTAATTGATCCTGGATTTTGTAAGCAAAAGAGTTATAATCCACGGACCAGTATGGAATCATTAATTGTTGTTCCTATTTCCAAGGTAAGAGTTAAAATTAATGTAATGATTCAGTATCCTCATATTAGTATATAAGCGTTAATGATTCGGTGTTTTTGTCATTGTTAAGGCTGCTTCAAATCAAAGAGCTGGGCGAGCTGGTAGAGTTGCACCCGGGAAATGTTTTAGATTATACACTGCTTGGGCTTATAAAAATGAACTTGAAGAAAATACCATACCTGAGGTTAACATTTATTGGCTGTGTTCTGCCTATTAAAGGCTCTAATATATAGTGTATGTCTTTATGCGTATTTGCTCGTCTGAAATATTGTCATCAATAGATCCAAAGAACAAACTTGGGCAACGTCGTCCTTCTTTTAAAAAGTTTGGGTATTAACGATCTAATTCACTTCGACTTTATGGATCCACCACCTGCGGAATCGCTTGTATTAGCACTTGAACAATTATACGCAATGGGTGCTTTAAATCATATGGGCGAATTAACAAAGGTACCTTACAGAGAAAGACTACATATATGCTACATTATCGAAACTGTTTGCAATTTTATGAAATTTTAAAATTTCTCTAGTTGGGAAGACGAATGGCTGAATTCCCAGTTGACCCGATGTTGTCAAAGATGATATTAGCTTCCGAACAATACAAATGTAGTGCCGAAATTATAACAATTGCTGCCATGCTATCTGCAAACAATGCCGTCTTCTATAGACCGAAGGTATGTAATTGCCACAGAACTCACTCTTATGACTAAAATCGATAGCGTCATCTGTGTACATGCACCAATTAACCAGATTTTCCGTACAGGATAAAGTTATACATGCTGATAATGCAAGAAGAAATTTTTTCGATCGAGCAGGAGATCACCTCACCTTGTTGAATGTATATAATCAGGTTATAACTACTATTAATGTGCAAGTAGTGATGCAATAAATTAGAAATGCAAATTATTAAATATATTCTATGTGATATTTTAGTGGTATGAGACAAACTATTCAACGCAATGGTGTTTCGAGAATTTTATCCAGCATCGATCAATGAAGCGTGCGCGCGATGTAAGGGAACAACTAGAAGGATTATGTGAAAGGGTCGAGTTAGAACTGATATCTAATCCTCATGAAACAGTCGATATTAGAAAGGTATCCATTGAAACAAAAGTAGTCTTTTTTAATCTTTGTATTTCGTAATGATCTAATCTTATTCGTACATTTTTATTTTAGGCTGTAACGGCTGGCTTCTTTTATAATACTGCTAAATTGTCCAAGAATGGACAATATAAAACTGTAAAACATCAGCATACAGTAATGATTCATCCAAATAGCTCATTATTTCAGGAACAGCCGCGTTGGCTAATTTACCATGAACTTGTATTGACCACAAAGGAATATATGCGACAGGTCAGAAACCATTAGAGGGTGATATAGACCTTTCTACCAATTTAGTTCAATTCTAAGTTTAATGCGTTATTGCTTTTATAATTAAAGACTATTGTTGTGACGAAATTTGTAGGTTATTGAAATCGAAGGTATGTGGCTTTTAGAAGTTGCTCCTCATTATTATAAAGCCAAGGAAGTAGAAGATAGTACCAATAAGAAATTACCTAAAAAAGTTGGTGCAACAAAGGAAGATTTGTCGCGATGATAATACGTATATTCTTCCCTCTAGAAAATTATATTTCTTTTCTTTAATCCATTTTTATATGATGTAATGAGACCATTTGGTGTTTGTTATACGGTGTAGAATTAGTCTAATCTGTATTATCTATAGAAATGTTCGTACTGTATATAGTGACATTTTATGTATAAATAGGAAACTGCTAAATTATTCTGTATGTGGCAATCGCATGCGTTAAGATCATTAGAAAGACGTAATCGCAGGACTTGATCAGTGATGTTGCGACATTGCACCTTTTCCTGAATCCATGTACACACGTTATCCTTTCTAATCTTACAGACTGTTAACATGTACAGATAGATGATGCTTCGAAAACGTTACGTATTGCTGTAGTCGTTAACTCGACAAATTGTACAATTTTTATATTTGATTAAGCAATAAACAAACCAGAGTCTTTATTCAATTTAATTACTACTATACTGGGTGGTTTTAGCAATTACATGTTCCATCACGACACATAGAACACGTCCGAAGTAGTTATGTCACAACAATGAAAACTTATTTATAATAATCATCAGGTAGATACGAATAACTTGTGAATGTATCATCATGAATGAAGATATCTACAACATTAGCTAAATCGTAATTTACCTGGTATACAGTAAAAACATTAATAAAGAAATAGAATAGAGTTTATGAAACATCATATTACTTGTGATTAAACGTAATCGATTACTGAGCGTCTTTATACTGATAATATAATGGGCCAACGTCATCCCGGGAAATTTTTACCCAACCGGTTTCTTTGACATGATATACTATTAAAAGGAAAGACCAACCGCGTATAGAATATTAGAATTGCTGCATTAAATCGTTCAGTAACAACTACGTAAGTAGCAGTATATACTATGCATAGAGAACTTCATCTTTTAATGATAAAAATTGATATAACGCAACAACGTTAATGCTATTGCTAGCGTTAACGGTAATATAACGCACTATACGTACATTCCGATATGGGCAAAATTGGGATACATAATTCAAAATTTAAAGGAAATGATTACTTACAATTTACGGAGCCTCCACTATAAGCATCACGATGAGTAGCGTGAAAGATTGCTCTTCTAGCCAGATCATATGCTTCTTCATCTTCTAGATCATGTTTAAATCCACTATCTAAGATACCATAAGCATAAGTAGATCCAGAGCCAACTGAAAACATGTAATTAGTCATTCTTGTACCATCACTATCGACATAATACAGTCCTGGTCCCTATAAATTGAATGAAAATGAAACAATTTTAAACTAGTTTTAAGAGTTAGGAGCTGCTCTACCATTCCATGATTCAGGAATACTCTCTAGGTACAAATATCATTTTATTCTACGTTGTAGAAAAGCTTGCTTACCCTTTTGTCCCAACCACAAATCATGGTACCCTACATGAATAACATTGGAAAAGAGTGCAAGAAATGATCACTTCCTATAAAGAGCGAAACTATGGATGATAGTATTTTACTAACCATTGAGAGACCCATTCCTTTATAATAATAGACCATGTTAGCAAGGAGTTTCGATGCAGCAGCAACAGATATCCTCTCTTTATTGCGTAATTCATAAACTCTGCATCGCTCAGCAAGAACACGTTCCCAGAATGAACAATCAGCTGCACCTCCAGCCATCGTACCTAATAAATAGGGGTTAATTTCGATAACTTTCTTGACAGTTTGCGAGCCTAAGAAGAAGAAGGAGAAGAAGAAGTGTTATCACATCATTCGATTCATTAGCTTCTAGATGTTTATTCCATCATTTCCACAATCAATTTCGAAATGATCAAACTTGCAAGTAAAATTGATTGCCATTTACCGATATAAGAGCCCATTGATGCACGAGAATCTGCAGCAACAATGACACCATTTTTAAATTTAAAAGCTAAGGTTGTTGTACCATGTAGAAATTGTATTTTAACACCATTTTCCCTTTCATTGATCGATTTTAGAAAAACTTGAGGCTAGAGGAATATAAAAAACAAAACGTCATGCTGATGAAATAGTATTCTTCACTTATTTTAACTAACTGGCATCACTTGAAATTTTTAGCATGAATCCTTATTAGTGTCATAACTACGTATAAAATGTAAGCTCTACACAAGTATATGCATCTATCAAGTCAGGGTAAGGATAAATTAGATGATTCTTCTCTATATTAGAAAGCGAAATTGGAAAAAGTAAATGATAACCGGTTAACCATACACCAATCGGCTAAGGTAATCGGTCAATAAATGCTAACTTACATCCATAGGAGGAACTTGAAAGGATAATTCTTTCGACAAATGTGTCCTAAGTTCATCCTCTATCATTTCATCTTCCTTTCGTTTGGAAGTAGTTTTAATAAAATCAATCGCAGAGCGATTTCGGTAGGACTTTGCTAACGACGACGCCGCCATGTTGAAAAGAGGATGACAATGCAGTAAATTGTGGCTACGGTGTTACTTTATAACTTTCATACAGTATATTGACTTAAATTAACCCCCTGTATGGTACACTATATAGCAATTTCTCTATTCACTGCAGCAGTCGATTGGAGTGATCCTCGAGTGCAGAAAGGTTTACAGTACATAGTATTGTGTCTGTACTGTAAGTGCAATGTATTGTACACTGTACACTGTACGGTGTACGAGGGTTTCTGTCTGTCTGTCAGATTTCTAGGTCCAAGTAGAGTTATATGATAGAGAGACAAGAAATAGGTTTTCCTCTCTATACTGTACAACTAAAAAACTGGCATGGATTGTGTAGTATCCTGTTGCTGTACAGGTTGGCATTGGTAACCTCAGCCACGCAACAAGCCCATCCAAAATGGCTGCAAGATACTTTTATAATCGAGCTGTTCAACATATTCGTGTATCGATGACTCTTCCATTTCCACAAACCTATAGAGCTGTCAGTAAAAGGTATGCTAGCAATCAATGGAATAAATCAGAGCTTGTCTATCGAGGTCCTCTTGCAGCTTCAGTCCGATTACTCAAGATATTCTCATTGAGCACCTGTGCAGCGACCATCGTTGGAACTCCAATTCTAGCCTATAATGGTAAGAAATCGATCTCGATCACAGCTAAAATTATGATTTCTAGTGCATTGATATCCGTTAGCGTAGCAACTACGGTATTGTTGCACTGGTTTAGCAAACGCTATGTATTGCAAGCTTATTCTAATCCTACTGGAACCAAGTACATGATGGAGACCTACACTTTATTGGCAAGAAGAAAGAAGATCGAATTTACACCTAACGATGTCAAATTACCCACTGCCGATCGCATGTTTTCCAATGTCATCATTTTCAATAAGCCGTACTTATTCCACCCTGAAGTTATTCAGCATAAAGATTTATTAATGTTAATTACCGGTTATAATTTCTCTGAATTAGAGCAGGAATTCAGCAATCAGAAAAATGCTAAGCCATAGTAGCTAAATCTTAAATCGATAACGGTGTGGTACTTGCAAGCAAGCCACTTGCTAGCTAATAATAATCGTCATCGCTTAAGGAATTAAACATGTTTCTACAGGGATTCTTGCTAGCGATATTCTCCTATGCCAAATTATGATTATGATGCAATGTATGGATTTTGTTTATCTACATGTATAAGGTTTTTATTGATTGCATTGCTTACTCATCTTCGTAATATTTTCCATGCTGTATACTAGCTAATCATTTTATTTTCTGCTAGCGAGCGCGTCAAAAAAGAGTCTGATATTGACTTCCATGATGTTGATTATTCTACATATATGATAAATTCTAATAGATTTTATGATGTATAATATTCAAAAAGATGAAGCTATTAAGTCACGACTATATGGCACTTGACAAGATAGACTTTAAGATTTTTGCTTTTGCAAAGCCTAGATTGATATGCGTATTCTGTTTGTGTATAAGGCAAGCAAAGGTATTTTGATGACAGTCCAGCCTAGGATAAGCTAGAAACCCTAGAGAGGTTCCTAGGATAAGCTATCTTGATATTCGTGGCTTTTATACATAAACTGATGTTGATTTTATTACTTGTTCCATTACATCTATATGCATAAAATAGAATGAGTATTGAAAATGGTGGCATAAGTAATATATACAAATAGGCCATGATCATACTAATATAGCTAATAATGCAATACATTTTAGCATATTGTTAGATTGCATCTTTAGTAAACCATGTTCAAGCCTAATTTACGTTACTATAGTTAATCTATGAGCAATAGATTGGTATTTAAATATCAACGTAAATATCATGCTTTCTTTCCTAAAGAATCTGTAACTAAATAATTATATGATGGGAGATTAAGTCATTCTGTTTTTGAAGCTAAACGCCTCTTAATCGAGAATGATTATACAATTGTTTTAATATTCTAACTATTAAAATGCTAAAATTTTTTGATACTAATAACACTGTCGTCTGAATGAATATAGGCGACAGTAACAAGAATGATTGACTGCTTGACGGATACCATAAAAAATTCCTAGCTTTATTAAATATCTACACCTATATTATTATTCTGAACTTCCTTTCAAAGTTTGAACTATCAAAAAACGTGACAAAATTTCATACATTGCTTTCAAGATCATTTGATTAGTTCTGATATTAAAGTAATGAAGCAAGCTCAAGAGTGATTCTTTTCTGTAATGATTTCTAAAGATGTAAAATCAAGTTGCTAAAATGAAGATAAAATAAATTTATAGCAGCATAACATTAATCTACATTATTATAATCCTAAATTTGGGTAATAAATCATAACGCTGATTTGCAATGAATATCTTAGCATCAATTAACAACACTGTAATCACCATAGTCGGTTATAGTTGTCTGTTAATCTCAAATTAAAACCTAATAACCAATTGTTACAATGATATATTGTACATGGATGTCATTAGTGCTGTGTGCACTTCAATGTGAATATTGTAATCCGTAATATTAGCAAAGGAAAAAAATAAGATCCAATACTTGATGAAGAGTATCTTAGCGAATTACGTGTAAGACATTAAATGTTAATGAGATTAATAAAATTCAAATTGTCCAACTTAATATAATTTAGATCTGAGAAAAGTTTGAAATACAACAACGATAGGATTAAGCTATAATCTGCACTTATTTAATTTTAGTACTAACCGTGACTTAAATGAGATCCTTACAACGCAATAATTTATTATAGAAGGTAAATTTTACAAAAATTCAAAAGTTTGCTAAAGATGAGAATCAGTGTATAGGTAGACGCCAATTACTTTTTTAATTCAGAAAGGTCAACTTAAGAATAGAATATTTCATTTAAGAAATACTTGGATCAAAGGCTAACTAACTGCCTTATTTATCACTATTAAAACGTTGTAATTTGGCTGTTTTGACTTTCGATGCTGACGATGATCTAGAACTTAAAATTCCTGGTTTTATTGGAACCGGATCACTTCTTAACCTAAATAAATTAGCATGAATTATGAGGCCCAACATTAATTACAACGTAGCTAGCCAATATGCTATAAACTGTAAGTACAGTTAAAGACAAAATACCTGACTTTTTGCACCCTTTTATCACATAAGCTTGATAGCTTTTCTTCGGTCGTCTTTAATTCTTCACGATAAACGGATAGACTTCTAGTATCAAGCGACGATGAAGAACCTCTTGCAATTATGGCAGATAAATTTCTTGATTTAGTCTTAAGGTCTAAGATATCGGAATAAAGATCTTCATCCTTTGTATTAGCACTCTAAAATAAGTATTTTCCCAAAATTAGAAAGATAATTATTTAGAATACCTTTAAAACGATTAAAAGACAATGCTTAATTATTCAGTCCTCTAATTTTAAATCATTATATATCTACACTTATAGGTATGGTGTAGTGTGCGAATTTACTATTACTAGTATTACTGTAGACATCTATCTGAATGGAAGTATCATGTCATGCATCTCTTAAAGTTACAGAAGAAACTACAAACTTAAAAGATACCCATACAAGGCATGATAGCTCAAATTGATTAAAATCGCCTTATTTAGCTAACTGTAGGAAAATTTAAATGTGTAATTTTTAATGGATACTACGAAAGATTTTACAGGTCTCAACAATATCAAGATGGAAGTAACTTTATTAATTTCACAATTTGCATTAACTTAGTACTACTACCATATTAAATATTCATATAGTAAAATTACAATATTAATTCCTAATAACCAATATAACCAATAACGTCACTCTATTTAGTATATTGATTGTTCTTAGTTTACCTGCTAGTACGATATGTTTAATGCGCGAGATAAAGCTATATAATACTCATTAATACCTTTGATTCAAAGATACTGACATAGACCAACAAAGTAGCATTCTCGATTTCATGATTATACCCATTTCTTAAAGTAATTGATCGGAAGCCTGGATGAAATGATAATTTAAAAAATTAATCAATTATAGAAAGTAACATATAGATTTAACAGAAAATGCGAAATACCTGTTTTCATACTCATCATAGGAATGGTGGCAGTGCATATGCAATTAGAATCGCCAAACATGTCATCTTCACCAATATTAAAGCGTAGCATAGCCATTTCAGGAAATGCAATATCCCATTCAAATTTTTCATTCCATCTCGGATTAAGGCCATTTTCATCCACTAAAATCAATCAACAATTGTAATTGCAAGTGCATAATTCTAGTTAAAATATATTATATTCGTACCATACTGAAAGGATTTAGATTAAAATCTATAATCAGAACTTTCTAAGATATCTATTAACACTAAATATAATCTTATAATATTAAAATGAGTTGATACGTTAAATTTAAAGCAGAATAATAAAGCAGTATCACGAGTTACAAAAATTCTTTACATAAACTTACCCCTCTTTGTCCTAAACTTATTCGTAGTTTCTTTTGTATCTTTGAAAACTCCTATACATTCTACTTCAACAAACGGTGAAGGGTATCCTCGACCCGTTTTAGGCAAATGCCTAGCTCCTAAAATAGTCATGCGAATAGTTAAGGGTTCCACATCCGTAAACTGGCTCGCGTATGGGTCGTAATTTTCTTTAAGCATAGTGGAGGGCTTCAGTATGTAACCACAACTAGAAATAATTTCGTTCATATGAATATATAAATAATTGTAATTAACCAAATGCTTTTCGAGTCCTAACTTTTATCAAAAATTTGTATGCTTTACCTTCCATTTTGTGTGAATTTTCCATAGCTTATCTGCATGGTTCGATCTAACATTACAACAAAATATATTTACACATCATACGTCCAAGCTATAACTTATGAAGATGAAATTATAATGTAGATGTAAAATATTACAATATTAGATACGAAAATTGAATGGTATGGATTTGTCTAAACTAAATCAACCTGGTGTTTGTATATTCAAGGCAACAATTTGAGACCCACAACACCAGAATGGCTGGGGGTCATAATTAGAAGAATCAATTCGCTGTCCTTTAGGATATATTCGGCTAAGCTGTTTAAAGTGATATCTAGGAAAAAATTAAGGAGAAATACCACTAATGCGATAACATAATATTATAGAGTCACATTAAATTAGTTACTATTCTAAAAGTTCATCAGATTCTTGTTGTAAAGAATTTAAATTAAGGATATTTATTGAATTGATTAGATAATTTATTGCTACACCATCGATCAGCCTTGGTTTCCGATAACGAAGCCATTTCATAGTAATTTGAAGGACCACCATCTAAAAGGAAATGCATAGTCACAAAAAATCAAATGAAGACTAATACATTGCAACCAATCAACTACCAGATTCTTTGCAATCTTAAGCTAAGATTATTCATAATAAACGAGTGCTGATACTTACATTCTAAAGTGAATCTAGCCGGACGACAATAAACTACTAAATCAGATAAATGTTGCGATATCCGCATTTTCTTCTCTATTTTGGAACCTGAATGCAATCCTCTTTGCTGTGTATGTAAATACGGTATGAAGGGAGCTTTTAGTATCGCTTTAGTAATAGTACTTATAGCTCTAACATTCCATCCTAGCTAGTATCTTAATTCAGAATTTATTTCTAGTATGAATTTCAGTCTATTTGATATGAGAACAGTCAGCTACTTTCATGACGTAAAAATAATTGTTTTTATAATGAATAGCGCGAGTAACCAATCATGATTGTAAATTATTTACTGGACAAATGTACTCAATACCTCTACGTATATCAAAATACAGGATATTAGATATTATAGAATAGATAATGATATTTGACTATAAGCTACCGGAAAAGATATATTCAGGCGTATCAAGGATTAACAGCAAACAAAAAAAGATATACGAACCGATTGACGAAGCCTTTCGATTGCACTTTTAATATTGTCTACCCATAACAGCATTTCCTACAATTGATTACCGTTTATAATAAGAGCTTGC